TTCTTTCCAGGAACTAGACAACCATCTTCTTTTTACTGATATTGATTTCGGGGGCATCAATCAGTCTCGTTTTGTTTAGGAAACGCCTCCGAAATCGATATCAATAAAAAGAAAATGAGTATGATGGTTGTCTCGTTCCTGAAAAGAAACCCAAGAAATATAAAAAAAATCTAGTGAATTCTGATTATCTTTTATACAATTCTTAAACGGATGTTAATGAGTTAATTTTATCTATTATTTTAAATGATGCAAGGATGTCCATGAAATTAATTGTTGGTATTGGAGAATTTCCTATGATGCTGACCAACCATAATTTCTGTAACTTTTATAATAAAATTTATTTTTAAATTTATAAAAATATTCAACAAAAATGTAAGTAAAGTAAGAAACAGAAAAAAATTCAAAAATATAAGAAAAAAATATTCGCGTACTTTCATGCGAGAACCCCTATTCTAAACGTCACAACAATGGTTGCAAAATTACTTTATTGTGCCAATTAATCGGTTATGTTGATTCGCGTAGGTACCAGAAGAAATATCAATGAGTCAATTAAACTATACAACTTTACAACAAATTATTTACTGTGTGTCTTGGTGGTGATGTGTCAGTGACAGAATGATGCTGACAACCTGCTCGCGAGCTCTTAGTAACTTTTAACACTTTTTATATTAAAAACATTCTATATCCTAAAAAAGAAAGCTTACAATCTTTACTTTCTTATATAAAACCTATTAAAATTCAACTCAAGATAACAAATTATCTGGTGTCAGTGAAACGATTAATGTGAATGAGTCAATGTTGCTGTAAAACCTTGTCCCGCGCTTTCTCAGGAACTTGTAAAACGTTTTTAATGAGACGAAAAAAAACCAATATGCAAAATAAAAATAAATAAATAATTTTACAACAAAACATGTCGAAAAATTTACTAAAATACAAAATTTTACAAAATATTTGCTGTTTATGATGCTGTATAACTAACTGTTCCTGAGCACTCTAACGTTTAAGCTAGTACAAAAATGAAATTATTCGATATGATTAAAATCAGCACATAATCTCATATTTTTAATATTTTTTTAAACGACACAATAATTCTTTAAAAAATAAATTTAATAAGCAAATGAAATGGGAATTTTGCCTCTTGTTAATAATTGATAAATATGTCCTCAGTACCTTTTATCGCTCTTCTTTATGTAAAATATTCAAAATTAATTAAGGTTTTGGTTGAGATAAAAAAGTCAGTGTTACAAGCGGGATTCGAACCCACGACCTTCGGCTAAATACGCCACTGCTCTACCACTTGAGCTGTCGTGTCTTCCATCCACTCGGACACTAACTTCCCATCTCTTGCCATCTTGAAAAATGGCAAAAAGGAAGGAAAATTCAAAATACTGGGGTTGAGAAGGGAAGTTAGTGCTCGAGTGGATCGAAGTGGTAGAGCAGCGGCGTATTTAGCCGAAGGTCGTGGGTTCGAATCCCGCTTGTCACACTGACTTTTTTATCTCAACCAAAACCTTAATTAATTGAAAAATATTTTATTTGGTCAAGCGAACCACGAAACCTAATAAAATATTCAAAATGCTGAAAAATAAAGCTTAAAATGTAAATCTTCTTCAATAAACGACTTAAAATTCATTTAATATGACAAATTATCTGTTGTTTGGTTAGTGTTAGTGACAGATTATGCTAATGAATCATTGATATTGCCAATCCTATACCGGCGCTCAGAAACTTTAAACACTTTTTAAATTAAAAATATTTAATACCCAAAAAAAGCTTAAAAGATTTTCTTTTATAAAAGGCCTTAAAACTCACGTCAAGCCAAAAATTATCCGTTGTGCCTGTTGTTGTGATAGTGACGATTAACGTAAATTTTTGTTAAAGCATGTGTTCAAGTCGAAAAGACAGATGCCAACGACGAAGGTCCGTTCATAGATCAAGTCCTGGGTGTACCGAGCTCTACCATCCAAGATTGGTGTACAGCGGTTTAGGGCCATCGGAAGTCTCGATGGAAGAGCCACTACGTTCTCTTCGATCGTTTTATTGCTCTTGCGGTACATTTAACGGCTCCCTTGATAGTTAGTCGACTCCAATCGGACCGTAATATAAGGATGAGCTCTAAAACAGCCATCAGAAGGCTTCGAGAGAATAGCCTAGCTCTAAACTCCCACATCAGCTTCCCTACTACTGGAGAGGCATTTATGGTACCCAAATGATTATAATACAAAATAGAGCTTTGACTGAACTAAGCTACATTGAGGAAGTTCTGGAAGCAGTGGTGGTTAGCTCTATTTATTGGTGACAAATTTGTGTTAATGCATGATAATGCTCGTCGGCTCGAGTTTCACCCATTACTTGAGTCCCATAAATATAAAATAAAGAGACGGGTTAGATATCGTTCGGCCTCCTACAAGCGTTCTACAGCTTCAAACCGTTCTTTTGAAGAAGGGGATTTTGTTTCACAACATTAAATTCGATCTCTAATTTACTCGATGCCTAGGAGACTTAAGGCCCTTCACAAGGCCTGAGGCGGTAAGACGCGTTATTAAGAGGAAAACTAGGTAATAAATTGTTAGTTAAATTCTAATCTAGCACTAGTTTTCGAGTATTTTCGTGTATTTTCTATCAAACCATCATAATTAAGTCTTTTTTAAAAACTCATTAATTTCTGATCACGTTTAGTTAGGTTTATATTAAAATATATACATTATGTAACTAATATGACAGTAAAAATATATAGTTTGAAATGAAAAACAAAATACAAGTGACCGGTTTTTGTCTTAGAGAGTATAAAACATTTTTAAATGCACTTGAATATAACTAATTATTTGTTGTGTCTGGTGTTGTGTCATTGACTGATCGGTGTGAACCAGTCAATGATGCTGTCAAACCTGTTTCCGCGCTCTCAGTAACTATTAACACTTTTTGAATGAAAAATATTCAGATGAAAAATGAAGCTTAAAATTCTTACTTGGTCTTATAAAACGTATTAAGATCCATTCAATATAACAAATTATGTTATGTCTAGTGTTCTGTCAGTGATAAATTAATCAGAATGGGTCTGTCGAAGTTCTCAGTAACTGTTGACACTTTTTTAAATTAAAAAACTCAGTATCCGAAAAAAGCTTGAAATCCTTACGCTCTCTTATAAAATGTATTAAAATCCATCCAATGTAATAAATTAACTTTTGTGTCTGGTTTTGTGTCAGTGACCAATGTGAATTAGTCCGTCTAACCTGTACGTGTGTGTGATCTCAGTAACTTTTAACACTTTTTAAATGAGAAATACACAATATAAAAAAAAGGTTAAAATTCTTACGTTCTCTTATAAAACCTATTTAAAATCCATTCAATGCGATAAATTAACTATTGTGTCTGGTATTGTGTCAGTGACCAATGTGAATTAGTAGTCTAACCTGTTCCTGTGCTCTCAGTAACTTTTAACACTTTTTAAATGAGAAATACTCAATACCAAAAATGCTTGAAATTCTTACTTTCTCTTGTAAAACGTACTAAGATCCCTTCAATTTGACAAATTATCTGTTATGTCTGGTGTTGTGTCAGTGACATATTAATCTGAATAAGACTGTCGGACCTGTTCCCGCGTTCTCAGTAACTTTTGACACTTTTTTAAATGAGAAATACTCAACATCCATAAAACCGTTAAAATTCTTACTTTCTCTTATAAAAGGTATTAAAATCCATTCACTGGGATAAATTAACTAATCAATAAAATCAACAAATAATTAATTTGAATGGGTCTATTGAACCTGTTCCTGCGTTCTCAGTAACGTATGTAGTGATTAGTGACCGTTAATCGATGATTATTCGGAAATCGTGAGATGCGGTCTGGTGTGATGTAGGTTTCAGAAAAACATTTTCTTTGTCTTGCCAACGTTTCGATCTTTATAGAGATCATCTTCAGGGCCTGGGAGTTACAAACATTGTTTAAATTTAACAAATACATGTAGGGTGTGGAAAAAAATGAATTTATACAATGCAAAAAACTTTTCAGCAACTTTAAAATTAAAAATGTGTTAAATTAAAATTAATTAATTAAAATTAAAATTAAAAATCGTTTAAAAACTCACTTCATTACAACAAACTATTTGTTGAGTCCTGCGTTGTGTCATTGACAGATTAATACGAATGAGTCATTCAATACCATAAATTAAACCTGTGCCCGCGCTCTCAGAAACTTATAACATTTTTTAAATTAAAAATAATCAATATAAAAAATAAAAAAACTTGAAATTCTTACTTTCCCGTATAAAACGTCTCAAAAATTCAATTCACTTATCAGTTGTGTCTAGAGTGTCAGTGACAGATTAATGCGAATGAGTCAATGATGCTGTCAAACCTGTTCGCGCGCTCTCAATAACTTTTCAACTTGTGATAATGTGAAAAATATTCAAAACACCGATCGAAACCCGATATATTTTATGAAGCGGTTATAAATTCGTTTAAATGAATAGCTTTAACTGATATATTAGTGTTGGTAACGGGGGGAATGTTAATTATTCTGTCCAATCTATTCCCGCGTTTAGATTAACATTTAAATTCGAGAGAGAACTTTCGCCGTTGAATATAATCAACTTTTTTTATTGGGGTTGAATTGATACTGACATGATTTTCCGACGGTCGGTATTTTCACCTATCGTCACGATTCACGATTAATCTCATCTTAGGGATTTAACGTATTAAGATATCGGAAAAATTTATTAAATTTTTTTTTTTAATTTGTTTTGTCTGTTGAATAACCTTCGTCCCCCTGGGCCCGGCCTTGAACTAAAATTCCCTGAGTTTAGATGAAAAGTTCGGGAATTGCCTTTAATTACCTTGGAAATTCAAAACGACACGGAGAAACCGGCCGGGCATTATTTTATCACGCAAGCCGACGAAAATGTACGTTTCGTAATGAACTACACGGATGTTTAGGTGTTCTAACGAAATCTGTGAAAGGTTTTGAAAATTTGAAGTTTGAATTAAATAAGAAATCTGACCTGAAGTTTTGTATTTTCTCCTGGACCCTGCTGACAAGGGTCTTCTTCGCGTCGGGCGGATCCGAGGAAGGTATGTCCATACTGGCAATCGCTTTGGCCAAGTGTAAATCCTCTTCGTTCATCTCTCAGATCTATTTATGGAGAGAAAAAAAAACGTGTTCAAAAAGCAGACAAAAAAAACCCTAGGCTAGGCGACAAATAAAACATTTTTTCAGTGTTTATACAAATAACAATACAATTACTTGATGGATTTGTATTTTAAAAAAATATAAGAGACGATTCCCGAGGATGTTAATTTACCTGGTGTCAAGGTTTAAACAAAATAACCGAATGTTTATAACCTTACTGTCTGACAACAAGGTATCGACTAAGAGGAGCGACGTTCACAGACTGGCGCTTCTATTTATTGTGGAGCGGCCAAACGGACGGAACGGTCAACTTTCCCCTTCTCAATAAAAGGTCTCGACGACCTGATCAACAATGCCACAGTCACAGTTCCACAATGCCATAAAGGCAATCGCAGACACAATCTCTTGTTGACCAATTAAAACATATACCGTGGATAATTTCCTCCTAACCCAATTTATTATCCTGACCGACTTTGGCCAATATCTAAAGTGTGTTACCGATATATTTTCTCCTTTATACTCTAAACGATAATTTTCAGGAGACTCCTTCCCAAGAAATGGGAATTAAAAAAAAAATAGAAATGCACACACAATTTATCAAAATATATTGCTCTTTAAATTATACACAATCAGCAAACATCTAAGAGGGCAGAAATATATATATTTTAAAAAAAAAGAAATGTTTATCTTTTTTGCTATAATGACAATTAATTTGAAAGGATATATTTTGTCATTTATGTTCTGAATGAAAACGATCAGAAAATTCCTGTGCAACCAGTTGAATTTTTTTATATACAAATGTAAACACAATTTATCAAAATATATTGATTTCTTTCAATTATAAACAGCCAGCAAACATCTAACAGGGCAGAAGTATTTTATGACAATAAATAAATGTTTAACTTTTTTTGCTTATAGTGACAATAAATAAAAAGGAAATACTCTAAATGAAAATGTTAAACAAATTTCTGTGCAGACAATACAATTTTTTAAAATACAAATTTATCAAAACATATTTTTCTTAAATTATACACAGCCAGCAAACATCGAAAGAAACAGAAGTATTTTTTAACAATAAATAAATGTTTAACTTTTTTGCCTATAGTGTCAGTTGATTTGATGAAAATGTTCAGTAAATTCCTGTGCAATCAATGGGATGTTTTAAAATACAAATTTATCAAAATATATAGCTTTTTAAAATTGTACACAGCCAGCAAACATCTAACAGGGCAGAAGTAATTTTTCTTTTTTAAATAATTATTTGTTGCCTATAGTGTCAGTTGATTTGATGAAAATGTTCAGTAAATTTCTGTGCAAGCAATGGAATTTTTTAAAATACAAATTTATCAAAATATATAGTTTTTTAAAATTATAAACAGCCAGCAAACATCTAACAGGGGAGAAGTAATTTTTTAAAATAATTTTTTGTAGCCTATAGTGTCAGCTTTTTTAAAATTATAAACAGCCAGCAAACATCTAACAGGAGAGAAGTAATTTTTCTTTTTTAAATAATTTTTTGTTGCCTATAGTGTCAGTTGATTTGATGAAAATGTTCAGTAAATTCCTGTGCAATCAATGGGATGTTTTAAAATACAAATTTATCAAAATATATAGTTTTTTTTTTAAATTATAAACAGCCAGCAAACATCTAACAGAGCAGAAGTAATTTTTTGTTGCTTATAGTGACAGTTGATTTGATGAAAATATTCAGTAAATTCCTGTGCAAGCAATGGAATTTTTTAAAAAACAAATTTGTCAAAATATATAGCTTTTTTTAAATTATACACAACCAGCAAACATCTAACAGGACAGAAGTAATTTTTTTAAAATAATTTTTTGTTGCCTATAGTGGCAGTTGATTTGATGAAAATGTTCAGTAAATTCCTGTGCAAGCAATGGAATTTTTTAAAAAACAAATTTGTCAAAATATATAGCTTTTTTAAATTATACACAACCAGCAAACATCTAACAGGACAGAAGTAATTTTTTTTAAATAATTTTTTGTTGCCTATAGTGGCAGTTGATTTGATGAAAATGTTCAGTAAATTCCTGTGCAAGCAATGGAATTTTTTTTAAAACAAATTTATCAAAATATACAGCTTTTTTAAAAATTATACACAGCCAGAAAACATCTGACAGGACAAAAGTAATTTTTTTAAAATAATTTTTTGTTGCCTATAGTGACAGTTGATTTGATAAAAATGTTCAATAAATTCCTGTGCAAGCAATGGAATTTTTTTTAAATACAAATTTATACACAATTTATCAAAATATGTTGCCTTTTTTTCAATTGTACATAACCAGCAATCACCTAAGAAGTAGTATTTGTAATAATAAATAAATATGTCTTTTTATGTCTTCAACTAAGGAAAATTGATTTGAAGAATTTTTTTTCTTTGTCTGTAAATATGTATAGAAATAATAAAAATAATAAAGGTAGGATGAGGATGTCGATTCATTCTTGTAAATGATGGTTCAACTCACAGATTTTGAGTAAAGTGTTCAGCCTTCCCCATGCAATGGAATATATCAATATATAAAAATATTTGTAAATTTTTTATGTATTGATTATATAAATGTATACACTGTTAATAATATATTACAATTTGAGTAAATAAAATATATATTTATTTCATTTATACGTAGCTTGTAATCATTTAAGTGGGCAAAAGGCCCTTTTTTTACTACAAATAAATTTTTTTTAACCATTAATGACTTGAAATGACATTTTTTCTACATTTTGTTCTAAATGACAATGTTCTGCAGATCCCTCCACAACCCATGGATTTTTTTAGCATGTACATTTATTTTTGGTTTTGTTAGAAAAAATTTCTGGTTTATTTTTTTAAAATAAAAAAGTAAATAATTACTTATTTACATAACAACAATAATAATAAAAGAATAATTATGATAATATTTACATAATTTAATTGTGTAAATAAGTAATGTTTTTACTTTTTATTTTTTATTTTTTATTTTTTTTTTAACCACATGGAAATGTTTTCTGATATAAGCCAAACACAACATAAATGACAATCTTAAAAATTCCACGTTTTAAATAAAACGTTTTTATATAAATTTACATACATATAATTAATAATAAAAATTAAATATAACTATATAACAATAACTTTATTTTACAAACAAGCCATTTTAAGAATATTGGTTAATTTTTGTCAGAAAAATGTATTTACATTTTTTGTATTCTTATGGTGTTATTCAGAGACAAAGAGAACATATCAAGATTTTTGAAGCTAAGGGCTCGGCAGCCATTTCAAGAGGTGTATAGAAAAAGATTTTTTGAAAGTAGGTACAGTGGTATGACTATTGAATATTTATATTTGTTTTTCTGATTCAAGTTTAACACGAATTTAAATATTTCGTGATATTGTACATATTCACTGTAACACTGTGATGAATGTTTGGAATAAATTAGGCCAAACTATTCAGTAAAGAGGTTTGCAATTTGTGCTTGACATTTGATTGTTGTAGCTACAAGTGATGATGGAAGCATATTTTGCTCTTGTTTACTCTGCATGAAGGACCTAAAACTCTTGGTTCATCAAGAAAATCATGTAATACGTTTAAATAATTTGTTGGGCAAGCCGCTGCTAAAGCATAACAGATTATTCTTAACTGAGAAAATGTCTGAGAAAATACACTTTAATAACATTTCATAATTCAATCAACCAAAATATGTTTTTACTTCTCTTATACACAGCCTGCAAACATCTAAGAATGTTTTAATAATAAGTAGATATATGTTTTTGTCTCTTTATCAATAATGACGATATGAAAGGATATTTTTTCTGCTTTGTACTCTTAAATAACACAGTTCTGCAGATTCCAAAGGCATGGATTTTGAAAAAATATATAAATTTATATAAAATTTAAAAAACTTATTACTAGAGTCCAGATTTGTCATGATGATAACATATTTATCCAAATCATCCTGTCCTGGTACAGTGATTCAAATTTTGTTCTGCATATTTAAAAAATATTGCATAAATATCGCAAATCAGAAATATTTTTGATTACTTAGATAAATAAAAATGTAGAGGCAGTATAGAACGTGAGAGGAAAAAGACAAGAAAACCCCCCCCCCATTTACAAATCTTCTGGTGCAGTTTTTTTGCCTTTTAAATTAATTTTTCTGATATAGTCAGGTTGTGGGAAGCACTCGAAATAGGGGTCTAATTTGAAACACAAAAATAGTCAGTGTCAGTCCTCATTGATATTTAATAACTCTAAAGAAATGCAGAAAATGGGATCTTTAACTTTTTCTAAAATAGCTGGCTGGACTTTCCTTTCAATGCAAAACAGAATTCCCTGGCGATGTGATGAATTTTCTTTCACGCTATCATTATATTATGGCACCTGAGGGTTTATATAATGTAAAATATATTAAAAAAATATAGCATATAAAAAAATATTTACATTAAAAACATGTAATAATAACATTTACAAGACAAAATGAATTACATGAACAAAATGAACAAAATTAATGATGAAATTAAATGAAAATAATATATTCTTTAAAAAATTCATTATTTATAATCAAATGATGAAACCACATTAAAAAAAATATTTATAAAAATAAATTTAATTATTTATTTGTAAAAATTCAGATGACAATGACAAGAAACAAACCAGTGAGGAAGCAAATCTCATAGTCTTGCCCCTTCTGAAGGATAAGGCTAAAGTTTTACAGGTTGAATGGTTGAGATTTGTGCGTTTTGATAAGAAAAGTGGGAAAAAGATGATAGATAGAGAAAATTTATTTGATTTAATTTGAAATATGTACATTAAAAACTATAAGTTTATTAGCGCTCAGAATGTTAAGATTGCTAAAGGCAGTAATATAGAAATAAATGTCTATTATTTAGTTGAATGATTATTTAGAGATCATTGGAATGGTAAAGAAAATATTTTTCTAAATCTTCACCACACCAGACCACATCTCATGATCTCTAAATAATTATTAATTAATATTTTTATGTAACGTTTTGGTTGAAATAAAAAAGTTAGTGACATGAGCGGGATTGTATGTTGAGATGGGGAATTGGTGTCCAAGAGGATTTAAGTGGTTAGAGCAATGGCGTATTGAGCCGAAGGCCATGGGTTCGAATCCCGCTGGTGACACTAAATTTTTCATTTCAACCAAAACCTTACATAAAAAGATTAATTAATTGAAAGACATAATTTGATCAATCATACCACTAAATAAAATGGGTATAGTAATAAATATGTTCTCTTGGTTTAAAATCATATCAGAATTTAATGCAGGAATTATTAGCAATTTCAAGGTAATGAGCAGATTGACAATCTAAGGAGAGTGAAAAAATAGCACTACAGTAAGAGAATAAAGGAATTATTATCTATATAATAAGAACTCTAGTTTTCTGTGGAGGAAAAAAGGCTAGTTTTAAAGAGAATAATTTGTTAGTGCTCCTCAAATTATTATTATTAATATGATTTTAATAATTTATTTTTAGAGTAATTATTACAAAAATCTATGGTACAATTAAATGCTTTATGTATTATTCCTACTATTGCTCAACTAATATATAAGATTTTGACTTTCATTCAAAATTTTGATGTAATGTATTATGAAGCTTACTTGTTATGTGTGGTGATTAGTGACCGTTAATCGATATTTATTTAGAAATCGTGAGATGCGGTCTGGTGTGATGTAGGTTTCAGAAAAACATTTTCTTTATCGTGCCAACGTTTCGATCTTTATTTAGATCATCTTCAGGCTCAAAGTGTTTTTCTTCTGTATAATTGTGCCATTCTTGCGTGTCGTGCTGAGAGTGCCACTGAAGATGATGTCAATAAAGATCGGAACGTTGGCACGACAAAGAAAATGTTTTTCTGAAACCATCACACCAGACCGCATCTCACGATTTCTAAATAAATACTTAATTGTTATGTGTTTATTAAGTCGTTTAATTTTCCTTAAATTTTATGGTACTGTATTAGTACGTAGGCTAAGTGAGAATTATTTTCGTACGTAATCTTAAGTAAACGTTGTGTTTTATTAGCATAAGATCCCAGGTATGGTAAATACAAGATTGGCCAGTAGAGTGGCTTCGCCCATGCATCGCACAATCTTAACTTACAGGTTACCCTAGTTTCAGTTTGTCATAGTCTTTTGATAAGAAGACTTCAAGTTAGAAAGTATGTGAGCTGGTTCTATTTTTAACAGTTTTAATTTACCTAGGAAAAGGTATTATAATTTCTATAGGCTGTTCGACCTAGATATTTTGTCGGACTTTAGGAATACAACAACAAAAAAATCTTTTCAATTTTCATTAATCATTATTGATCAATCTAGAGTTCTATTTTTCTGATTGTCATTAAGGGATACAAATCGATATCTTTTAATTTCGTTGTAAAGTAATAAAGCTTTGAGTTTTGTTTAAAAAAAAGGGTGACGCCCAGCAAGGTAAATTTCAATAAAAGTTTTGTAAAATGTCAATTATGTAACTCCTCATGAGTTGTTACAGATGAAGATATATCTTGCCTTCGTTCTCCTTTTGAGCGCTACGTTTGCGCTCAGCCAGCCGGCATACCAGGAAGAGGTCGATGCGAATGAATTTGCCGAGTTTGAAGATTTTGAAGAAGAAGATGGGAAAATGGTCGAAGCAGAAGCAGCGCCGAATCTACAAATGGTGAAAGAATCCGCAGAAGATGAAGATGGCGATGGTTACATAGTTGAGGTACTTTTTAAAAAATTTAATATTTTATTCCTCGTCCTTGAATGGAAAGATTTTATTTTATTTATGACTTAGTGTAACAATAGTTGATTCTAATTGGTAAAAAAACAGGCTGTCAAGTATTTGTACTGGTGTAAGGGCCTGTTACACGTTCATGCTATTTGCGCCAAGTACATTTGCACAAATAAATCGTTGTGTGTAAATGGAAGCATGATGTACACCACCTGAGATACAGTTGTTAAAAAAATTAATTCGCTACACCACGTACAGAAAAGAATTAAAAACAGTGGGTTGAGTCTGAAAGATCTGATGCGGGAGAAGAGGACATTTATGTAGATAATTAAAAAATCATCAGGTTCACTGCGTAATTCGTTAATTAAATTCGTATATGAAAACAAATTTATTTTTGATAACCAGGATATAGACCATCTTTTCTTTTCATTCTTCAATTTTTGTTTTTTCTTGATAACGCATATCGCAACCTTCGCAAAAATTAATTTGTCAACATTTTCCATTTATGTAAATCAATAAATAAGTCACTCAATACAAATGCAATATTAAATAAGTAAATCAATATTTATACTATAAATTTAGACAATTTATAAGTTAACAATAATGATGCCGATGAAGAACTTCACAAACTAGTTTGAACGGCCTGTTTAGTTCAGTTCATTTGCACAAGTTTGCTTGCACAAATCAACTTGTGCAAATTTCATGAGGGTGTAAATGGGCCTTAAGTCTCTACCTGGTGCCTGTAGTGATTGGCAAGATTGACCTTCGTACGAGGAAAGACTTATTGTTGCTTTAGTCAATGAACTCGATACACGTCCTGTATTTCTTAACCTGCGGATAGAAAATTTTGAACAATGCTAAGTTGACTATTGTTAATTTGGATTTCTTGATAATCCGAACTCCTCAGCAGGTCAATAGGGTAAATTGAAAAAAAAAAATCCTGTGTATTTTGATACACTCGGTAATACAAAATATTTTTTGTAACATGGGGGGAAAATGCATTCTATACATCGAAATGGAGCCTTTCCCTCTTTATAATTTAAACTTTTTCTGTGTAATGTTCCTCTAAATTTCAATGTGTAGTTTACTTCCTTGCAGCATAATAATTTTCTGTAGATTGATATGATCAGCGGTCAGTGTTTTGCCAATGCGTTATCAGCACTGGTCTCTTTAGAAAATCATTTAGACACAGGACGTGAGGCCACATTCGTACAAAAACCATTTCATGATTTTTCTTAAATAATGCATAATAATATTCACTTTCACAGTTGATCTAATTCCATATTTTTTCATTATTTTTATGATATTTTAATATATCGCATACCCACAAGAAAACTGGCACAGCTCAACAAAAGAAAATTTTACAGGAGAGACAAATGGAAGTTAACTTTTTTGACTTATGTATTAAGCACATAGTATGGTTGTTGACAATAAAAACTGTCATGATGCATCAATATTGTCTTTCGTTTCTCCAAAACTTAAGCGAAAACACAAAACTAACCCTTTTTGAGTTGTGACACTTTTCTTGCATATATTGGCTCTCAGTAATTTAATTTGGTTTGTTTGTTCTAACGATAATAGTGGTCAGACTGTAAGGGCATCAGTTTTTTGTGATAGTAACAGACGTACAAACTTAAGAAACGGACATAAGTATCCATGTATTAAGTTTTACTAGGAATTATTTTTGACTCAAATGTGCATTCTTCTGGTGTCAGGGCTAATCAGTAGTTAGTTAAAATACAAAATTAATTATTGAAATAAAGATTTTCTTGATTATTAAAAACATTGAAATTAAAATATTAAAAAAATCATTGAAACTAATGTAAAAGTTAGAAGATAACATTTTAAAAAAATATGATAAAACAATATTATAATTAAGAATGTCATTAAAAGTAATGAAAAAGTACTAAAAATTCATGAACACTCTAGTTCAAGATCTTGAAGAAAAAAGCAAATTAGTTGTAATTGCCAAGCTTTCGACCTATTTTAAGGTCATCATCAGGGCCTGTATTAATTTCACATTATGAAAAACATTTGTACAATTGATTTAACAATTGTTTTTCATCATATGAAAATGTGACTCTGATACAACATAAAATCCGTCTTAAAAAAAAACAAAACCTGATAAATACTCACGCCGATGCTGTAAAGCTCGACCCAGGGCTAAGATATGCCACTTTTTGTGAAAGGTGATAGTACGTGCTCGCCAACTCAAAAGTGGTACATTGTGCTGCCTAGCAGCTAAGAGTCCACCTACAGTTTTGTCATGTATCATCTCACACCCGAATACTTTACAAAAACTAAATAATCCGGTTTTTAAAATTTTTTTACTTATGTCACTTCTCTTGTGGGTGTGCGATATGTACAATTCAAGCAAGAACTTTTAACTGTCCAACACCTATTGTCAAAATAGTGTTTTATTATTCTTTATATATATTTTTTCTTTGTCTTTGGCATTCTAATAATACAGTAAACTTAGTCCCCCCCCCAATACATAATATCATGTACAACAACTTACACCTACAGGTGATAGGGCATTGTGGGAACTCAAGAACAAAATATATGACAATAATTCAATTTATTATAATAACACTTTAATATTTATAATAATTCTGTTGTAATATTTTTCATTAAAATAATCTTTATCAAAATTAAATATTTTTGTAACGTAATCATTAAAAAACCCACAAATAAATACAATTAAATAAATAAAAAATCAAACCAAATCAACTGTAAAAAGAAATAACAATAAAAAATATAGATCCTTTATAAAAGATTTAGAAGAAATAATTCTTTTACTTATAAAATTTTAAGCAGTAGATGATGCAAACACACTACAAGTATGGTAAAGAAATAATTAGAAATACAATAATAATAAATGTATGTAAGACTAAGAAAAACGATGAGCTAGATTATCGACCTGCTGGAAACATGAAGTCTTTTCGGAGGATCTACGGAAGAGGTCAAACACAGAGAAAACTTCCTTTCGGTTTACGCCGAGCTTTTGACAGTTTTTATACTGTCATCTTCAGGGCCTGTTTTATTATCATATAAAAAAACAATTAAAACATGAAAAGTAACTAAGAAAAATATTACAAAAGAAACAAAATTGACGTTCAAACCAAAAGAGATACTGACAAAAAAAAAAAAAAAAAGGAGCTATTTTGAGGAGTGATGTGCAAAGTCCAACAAATGGAGTGACTTTTAATTATTTTTTCCATTGTGATCACATTTTTTTTTTATAGAGAAATTAAAACTAGAATTAAAGAACACTTGCCTAAATCGAGCAAATTTTCGGAATTTAAGGACCATCTAAATGAAACAAAGCACAATTTCAATTCAAATTTAAATACAACAGTGTTACACAGTTTCAACAAAGGGAGGGAACTAGATTGGTTTGAGAAATTTGAAATTAAAAAAATGTAAAATCAAACGGAGATAAGTGCATAAATAACATTATAGTTTTTGATTTACCTCCTATTTTAAATATGCACCTAAATAATATTAGTCGTACAAATTAATCAAATGAATATTTTTTTAAATTTTATCATTAATTTACTAATCTATTATTAATGTATTATTTTTATTTTAATTAATAAAATAGTTAATGTACTACTACGACTAAACTTTTCTGGAAGATAAACCTTGTTATTTACAAACTGCTTATTACTTATTAAATACTTATTACTCTAATGCCCACCTGGAGTTGACACGAGATTTCAAATACAACTTACAAAAACACAAAAAGATTATTTTTACCTTTAATTGTTTAATAGTGATACCCATAGATGAAAAATGTAAAAAAATAATAATAAAAAATGGAATAACATACTTTTTTAAATTTGTTCTACAGTCAAGCATAATCAAAGAGCATTTTAAAAAAACTGATCAAAAACCTAGTGTTGTAGGTCATAAGAGCAATATTTCCATTCCTCTGCTCAGAACATGTGACAAGAATTAAGATATATTAAAATTACTTTGTTAAACAAAAAATGTTAACTAAAGTATTTTACAGGATGAAGACAATGAATTTGAGCATTTTCAAGATGAAGAAGAGTTTGAAGGATTCGATGGTGTCGGAGTGCCAACCAAGGTTGATGAAAAAGAAGCTCCAAAAATTACCATTACAAAGGTTTTTAAATTTTATTCTCTGATTCTTAAGTTATTCATGATTTAAAATATTTATATTGGTTTAGGTACCGCTTCATTTCCGTTCTAATTGGGACAGTTTTTATCTTGAAATGTTAATGATCGCCGGTTTAGCAGTGTACTTTATCAATTTTTTTACCGGCAAAGCCAAAAACAGTAAAATGGCGAATATTTGGTATTCCACTCATAAATCTATGCTCGAGGAAAACTTTTCCCTCGTCGGTGAGCCTTCGTTCATTTTAATAAGTGCTATTTATAATTTTCTTGTGTATTAAATATTTGTGTATGTTAGGTGATGATGGAAAAATGGAAATTGAATCCAGAGGTTTAATTAAAGAGTCAGAACATCTTTATACTCTCTGGTGCAGTGGTAGAACTTGCTGCGAAGGGATGCTGGTGGAACTTAAGTTTATCAAGGTAATTTTTACATTATTACAGCATTATTTCTCAGTTCTAAAAATATATATTTAATATAAAAAAATTGTTCTATTCTAATATTTTAATTAGAAAAATTATTATTTTTTTTTATTTCAGAGGCAAGACCTTGTCGCTGTAATTGCTCAGTTGATGAAGCCAGTTATCGATCAAGTTCATATAAAAGTAGAAATGGGTAAAGACGATATGGACTCATTTGTATTTTGTGTTGCGTCTAAGAAAACTGCTGCTCGGTTTGCAAAAGATATGGCAGATTTGGTAAAACAAAAATCCTAACTATTTGAGAGATTTCAAATTAATAAATGTTTTAAAGTGATATTTTTTTTTTCATATTTAGAGTGTATACTGCGCAGAAAGGAAAAGTGGCGAGAAATTAGGTTTACCAAGTCAATTTAGCGTGATGTCCGAAATCGGCGAAGTGACTCAAGCATTGCTGGATCCAAAAATTACAGCAATGCTTACCAAGCATGTAGATCTAATTGATTACATACACTTTTCTGATCAATATTCTGGACCAAAACAGCAAGAGTAATCATATTTATTTTAATTGAAATTTAATTTTTTGTATTCAACTAAAATTTAATTTATATTTTATTCATTTATATTATTTATATTTATTTTATTATTATTGCAGAGACACCAATGTTACTAAGTTACAAGCGACTGAAAAAGTACTTCTTTTTGGATTTAATATTCCCGTCAAGGGTCACACTACTCAGGACGCAATCGAATCACTTAAGCCTTTGATGCATTTGGTTTTCTACTGTATGGAAAAAATAAAACGTTATAGATTAAGCAGAGAGGTGATTAATTTCTATATTAAATTTTAAAGATCAGTTTAGGCAATGCAGTATCATTGCAGGGAAAAAATAAGGCTGACAAAAATAGACTGAAGGTAGAAGAGGCCTTTTTAAAGACCACACACGCAGCAAGAGCTGAAGCAGCAGCCGCAAGAAGGGAACAGAAACGCAGACAGGAAAAAGAAAAGATATTACAAGTATAGAAATTTTATTCAAATTTAATTTTTCATTCTGTAAATTAACTTGATTGTTTAGGAAGATGATCCGGAGAAGCAAAGGAAATGGGAAGAAAAGGAAATGAAGAGACAGATGAAGAAAAAAGCTCCCAAAATGAAGCAGTTAAAAGTGAAAGCTTTGTAAATTGAAACTTTATCCTGTTATCTTCTTTTGTTATAAATATCTTAATTTGTAATAATAGTTAAGAACAATCTTCTCTTTTAAGTGGTTAAAATGTTATTAGTTAAATGCAATAATGGCATTCATCAGTATTTAATATACAACCTTGTATAGTGAAGTTGTATGAATGTTCTGTATGATTCTTTATTATATGTTTTCAATTTTAAAATACAATTTTAAAATGTCAATAAATGCTTTTTGACCATTAAAGATATTCTTTTTAATTTTATTCTCAATGCCACCCTAGAACATACCTGGAATGTATGATTGATGACAAAAATTGAATGAAAAATTGAACAATTTTAAGGGTTGTAAGTGAGGGGTCAGGACACGTTACAATAGTTTTTTTAATTAATAATTTTCCTACAAAATTCCAAGGGAGATGCTAGGATTTGATTCTAGAACCAGCGCCATATTTTCAGCAGTTCATCACCTTGATTTGGGATGTGTATTATTTATTGGCAGGTATTACAAAGATATACATACATATGCTGTTAACTTACAACCTTACAATGCTTGAAAGTATAGGAGAAAAATAAGAAGAAAAAAAAAGCAACAATATGCACATTGTCCAAGTTTAAAATGGATATGCCCAACTCTGCACATACACTGTGAGGAAAAAGAGAAACTCTTAATATTTTTTTTATGTCTTAATTAAAAATATTAAGTGTGACTTGTGTAACTTCTCGGAGAGATGATCATTTTAGTGTTTCAAATGTACTCCGTAAGTGACATTCTACCGCTGTTGGGATCAAGCAAACTTCAACAAGTTAGAAATGTTAAAGTCAGTTTATACGCAGTAAGGCGAATACTTTCAGAAGCTGGTTTATGTGTGAGAAGGCCTGTCACTGGTCCAGAACTTCTGACAAAGCACAAAACAGTTTGTTTTGTAAAAAAATCACATCAATTGGTCTGAGCAAGATTGGACTAAATCTTGTTTTCAGATGAGTCAAGGTTCTGTTTGAAGTCTTCTGTCAGTCGAGAGAGGGTTCGGAACAGGAGTGCGATATATCCTTGCAACATTTTTACTCTGGAGAAGCCAGGGAGGTGGTGGTGTAACGGTTTGGGCAGGCATTTCTATGGAAGGTGTCACAAACTTGATTTTCATCAAGACTTCCCAAACTGCAGTACAATACAAGATATATTATCAGAATTTGTTCCTTATATGCCCCTAATTGGTGACCGCTTTATTTTTGTGCATGACACTGCAAGGCCCACATAACTGGAATTGGTAGTGATTACTTGGAATGGGCTTCAATTTAACGTTTGGAGAGGCCAGCATGTAGTCCCGACTTAAACCAGAAATGGAAACCTATGGCGAGAGTAAAAAGTCGCCAGTGATACCAGCGAATTTGCAGTCATTTAAGAATGCAGCTATTGGAGGAATATGAAAATATTCCAGAGCATTAAATTTAAATCCTCTTTGAATGCTAGTAGTGATCAACACAAGAGGAGGAAATACTCCATTCTGAAATGAACATTTTTGGTAAAAGTGTTTTTCCTTTTAATGATATTTTAAGTTGCATTTTTAGTGTCAGAGGGTTTGATCATAGTGTGTTTATATTCAGAGGTTGAAGTTACTGCTGTCTTTTTTGCCATTTCATCATCAAAATTTATCTATTTTATATCATATATTACATTCACATTAAGTAGGCAAAAGTCAAAGTAGCGTTCTCTATTCTCATCCTTGAACCTTGAACCCGAAAACCTTTATGTTTTGGTTTATAGCCTTTACAATTACATGAGGCTTCTCGAAAACCCCTTCCTTCAAACTCGTTCTGGCTACCCAAACCAATTCTATTTTAGGTTAAAAAGGTTAATACTATGAAATTCTTTAAATTTCAAATATTTGTAAATATGATTCTTGGCAACCTAGTTAGTAATACAGAAGTGTATAAAATATTATTTATTTATCCTGGCAATATATTTGACAAATACATAGGTGTAGTTTTTATGTGTGTGAAAATTTATTTAGTTTATGGTAGGTGTTATTAATTTGGAGGTCATCAGATCTTAATGAAGGTTTTGTCTGGCTTTTAACATATACATCTTTACATCAGTCTAGAGCTATTTAAACACCATCACCATTCAGCTTGAGACATACAGGTCATGAACACCAACTTTTACTAGATTTTTCTAATTTTTAATTTTTGTGGTCTTGGAGACAACTTACCTTTTTTCCTTAAAAGAAGAGAACCTAAAAGTTTGAATTCTACCTTGCTCAAAACGTTATGTTTAAAAATTCTAAGTGATGGATAAGTTCAGCTAAATCTTGAGATTAAGGTAGATATTTAGAATTAAAAAATAATAGTTGGTAAAAAAAGAGATAAAAAGTTTTATATATGCTGATAAAAGAAAATAATGTTTAAATATTGACTGATGATCTTAAGTTGTAAAAATAAGTTGATTGTTGATTCTCACTTACAATGCTGAATAACTAAAAAAATTATATTTGTATATCTGTTGTAGTCCTCAGGAAGGTGAAATAAAACTGAAAGCTTGCATAGTTTCTTTTCACCACATTCATTGGACCACATCCCCGATTCCACCGAATATATTGCGAATAGTAGCAAATCACCTTTACATAATTATAGACTTAAGATAAAACTAGCACAGACTCCCTCCTGAATCTGTCAACTGTTGGCAAATGCAAAACTAGGAAAATATTTTAGATTTTTTGGAAATCCTGGTATGTATAAGTTGGAATGTTAGCTTGTGCAATATTAGGGATAAATATTAAATTTTGTATTTCGTAGAATTCAAGGTGGAATAGAGGTAACATTTGATTCGTGGAATTAAAAGAGGAATTATTTCCTATTTTAACCTTGTACCTAAATAATATTTGGCGTGCAAATAATCACTAATTTAAAATTATTTTCTTACAATATTTAGTAGGATAATATTTAGATGTGTTGTAACCCGCGTTTTTCGTATTTTCAAAATTGAGTGGCAGTAAAAACCACCTTCTCTTTGAAAGTCGCAATGGCTATGGATAGGCGGATTAACGCTTACAATTTATAATTTGTTGAATTTGTGAGAAACGGTTAAGAATGAGGTAGTTTACAAAACACTTTTTCATTTTTTTGCCGACGTTTCGACCTTTATACGGGTCATCTTCAGGGCATGAAGTGCGGTGCTATTCATGTAGTGTGTATTTTTTCCAATCAACATATGTTTTGTAATTCACCCAGCCCCTAAAGATGACCCGAATAAAGGTCGAAACGTCGGCAAAAAATGAAAAACCTGTTCCCTAATAAATGTAAGAAAATAATTTTAAATTAGTGATTTATTTGTAATTATTCAGTTAATCAAATATTATTTAAGTACATGTATGGAGTACGTATGTGTGGAGGTAAATGAAAAACTATTATATTATTTATGCATTTATCTCCATGTTTAATTTCAAATTTTTGATTTCAAATTTCTAAGTATTTAAAATTCCAATCTAATTCCATCCCTTTATTGAAACTGTGTCACATTGTTGTATTTAAATTTAAATTTAGATAGCGTTTTGTTTCATTTAGATGATTCTTAAATTCCGAAAAAGTGTTCGATTTAAGCAAGTGTTTTTTCGTTTTAATTTCTCTGCTGCTTTGTCGTACATCGCAATAATTACAATTAAGTTGGTAAACCCCGCTTTTTGACAAGTTTTCAACTTTGTCTTTAGATTTTGAGTAGATGTTTCTAAGTGAACACTTACCTCTAAAAGCTACTCCTAAAACCTTCTCGTTTAAGAATTTTACCTACTTTTTCTGATAGTTCAATGTATGGAAGCAACGAAAACCTAATGACGATAGTGGCTGAGTCCGACTGTTGCCTCATACAGAGTTAATTATTTCATTATTTTTACTAGCAACCTATCGATAAATATTTCTTGATATCCATTGTTTTTAGCTGTTTTTAATTATTTGTATATTTTTATAATTAACAGGTGTTAATTGGAGTTTCAACGTGCGGTCTATGTGCCAAATGAAACCAGCAGCTTTTTAGCTCCATGGGTGAGAAGAATCTGCTGGCATCATGTTATAATGGTATCTGCAGTTGTGGGTTTTCTATATATGTCTATTTCAATTACGTTATTTATTTTACAGTTTTAAGCTAAAAAGTGTAAATAACCATCTGTATTTATTTCCAATATAAAATTTATATTGGGCTGGTGCAAAAACAATGCCGGTTTTGAAAAGTCATGTCAAAAAACTATTTTTGGTCTTTATAAAATAAAGAAAATTTATTCGAAATATTTTCCATCAAAATATACAAATCTTTGCCAACCTGTAATTAGCGTTTTTATTCAGCTGACATAAAAATCAAATTCCGGCTCACAATAAAGATTTGGAAGACGTTTTCGGCTTCGCCGCGTTCTCTAAAAATTTCATCCCTCAGGAATCTAAATGCCTAAATAAGTAGAAGCCTGTAGGCGAGAGGTCGGATGAATATGGAGGGTGCAGTAAAAGATTCATATCCTAAAGTCCGTAAGTTTCCGCAGACTTTGGGACTTGTGGTCTGACGTTATAGTGAAGAAGAATCGGCCCCTTACGGTTTACCAATGCTGGACAAAGACTGCAGTTTCCCGTGCATTTGATCAATTTCTTGGAAATATTTTTCTGCTGTATTAGTTTCACCATAATTCAGGAAAATAACAACCCTAGCAGTACACCACCAAACACTCACCATAACCTTTTTAGGTGCAGATTTGATTCGGGAAGTTTTTTGGCGTTCTATTCTTGTCCAACCACCTGTACGCCAACTGTTATCGTACACAATCCATTTCTCATAGCACGTGATGATTCCATTGAGAATGGATAATTTTGGTTGTGCAACAGAACAGACGTGCAAATTTCAAAGTGTCGATTTCTGTGGGCTTAGTCTTTGACTTGAGCTTATTTACTTTACCAATTTGCTCCATGGCAAACAACGGTTCTTCCGCACTTTCCTGTGTTGTCACGTGAATTTTCTTCAATAAAGTTTGGAGTTGGTCGTCGTTCACAACAGAAGGCCTACCCGCGGCCATCAATGTCTTCGAGATCGAAATCTCCAAAATGAGACTTCGGAAACCATCCCTGCACCGTGCGGTAATGGTTCCCTCCACAACTACCTCCACATTTTCCATTTCACGGTAATGTTATGCGCGGTTTGAGCCGCACTTCGCACAAGTTCAAAATATTTATTATTATGTTTGAGGGCTGTGTTTACATAATAAGCACCTGCGAAAATAAAACAAAATTTTCAAAACCTGCATTAGTTTTTGCAATATTTAATATCACAATAATAACAATGAAGTTTGTAAACCCCGCTTTTTGACAAGTTTTCAACTTGGTCTTTAGATATTAATCCATTTATGCTTAGTGGTCTAATTGACCAAATTACTTATTTCAATTAATTATTTTTTTGTAAGATTTTGGTTGAGATGAAAAAGTTAGGGCTAAATAAGCCGAAGGTTGTGGGTTCGAAACCCGCTCGTGACACTAAGTTTTTCATCTCAACCAGAATAATTAATTTATCTTTAGATATACCTATTTCAGTTAGGTTATTTATTGTGGAAGTTTTAAGTCTAAAAAGTTTAATCAACCATCTTTATTTATCTCCAATGTACAATTTGTACTAGGATATAAAGAATTATTTAATTGGAGGAATTACTTTAGCTCCTCTAGAGTTTCCGACCATTTATATAAAATATCGTCTACAATTAATTTGTTTTTTGATTTGAAAAAGTTGAAAGTTATCCATGAATAATTCGGCACAAAATGGGGACATCTTCATAATTTCTTTTAAAAGCGATTTGCAAAGTTATCGATAAAAAAACGAATCGATACAAAGTATGGGTCATGTACCAAAAAAGTATCGTTACTTCGATGGTATCGGGTATCATTAGTACTAGTTGGAGGTGGATCGGCGGGTTCTTGTCATTCTTGTCGAGATACAAACAAGAATTTATTATTACAGTTTTGCTTTTATGTTTTGTCTTTGATGTGTAATAATATTAAAAAATGAAGAACGAAAATGAAGCCGAGAGCTGGCTAGACTTTTTAAAATTTACTTAGGGAACCTAGAAAACCTAGAAATGAAATGAGTCCTCCAGTGGGAGAACCACTTTTCAACCTATTTGCAGACACCTGCTAATAGGAATAATACAATTGTCCATATATAATATAAGACGTTTTCTCAAGACAGAATTAGTTAAATATTAGAAATTGTTCAAAACAACAACTCTTCAGACTGGGACATAGATAAAATTAATCATGGCACATAATAAAAATTGTTACTAAACAAATATTGAATAATTAAAAAAAGTAATTATTTCACTAATAGCTCCCTGTGGCCACTTCTTATGTTGTTGAGAATCTAATCTCGATTGAAAATATGGCAAAAGAGGGAAAATTTGAACGGTTGTAGGTTGAGATGAGTTGTTGTCCGAGGGGATCGAACTCACGATAGCTCAAGTGGTAGAGCAGCGGCGTATTTAGATGAAGGTCGTGGGTTCGCATACCGCTCGTGACGCTAATTTTTGATCTCAACCGAAAACGTTGGATAAAAAGAATAATTAATTGGAATAGATAAAAATGCTCCAGTCTTGAATACGATTTATGTAATTTGGTCATTACACTCATTTTGGTCTGTCAGACGCGTTTCGGCATTTTGTCGTCTTCAGTGGTGGGTCTGAGTGGTTTTTTGTTAAGGTTAACTCCGAAGATGGTGAAATTCTCAAATCGGAGGATAGGTAGACCAAAATGGTAATGAGTAAATTACAGGTTCATCACTCCACAGACCACAGCAGGCAATCTCACAATTTAATTTTTAGGGGGAAAAAAATCAAAAACTATTCCTGAATAACAGCCCATCTTTTCAACAAATTAACACGCTACTATTAACAGATTTGATACAACTGTCTATGTATAATACAAAGAGCTTGTGCCAAACCAGTACTAGTTAAATATTAAAAAATGTTCAAAAATGTAACAGCTGTTCAGAATAGATCGTTCGATAGACAGAAAAAAAAAACGATGTAGTTATGTAGGATTTAAGGCTTAGCACAAATTAAAAAAAAAACTAACCTGAGTGACCTTTAGTTTAAAATCATTCAAAGTGCAATTGTTAACTAGTTTGAGTAGTTTTTTTAATCTTGTTTGTCAACGCAATCGAGAATCAAGGCCTGGCATGCTTCATTGAAAGTGTTAATAATTAATTACATGGTTACATTTCATGGCTGAACAGTGACTTGGCTTTTGCATTTCTCAAAAGTATAATTTTTATTTTAAACAAGTCAATTGTCAATAAAACGAGGTGTGCATCAGTCGTCTCAATTGGCAAAATTCGTCTCAATTTGTAGAGTAGCTAAATAGTTAAAATTACATTGCTCAATTACTTGTTAAAATGTCATGCAATAATTTTATAAAATTTATTCAAAATTAAGTAGTTTTTGTTTTTTTAAAAACCGCTACCTTGTTCAGAATGAAAAAAATCTGGAAATAACTTTGAATCTTGAGTAATTTTGTAACTGGCGAAGTAATTAAAAGTAAAACAAAATAACATTGTCGATGGCAAGTTTACTTGTTGATTTCTTATCTCTGCTTATTTGTACGGTAAATTGTTTAACCATAGATAAAATTAGGCTTAATCATATGCAAACCTTTTTGCGATAATATTAAAAAGAAAATTTTTTCGTTTTTTTATATTTTTTATTCTTATACTTTTTCTAGCCATTTTAATATTTAATCGTACCAACAGGTGTCTGGATTGATAAAGTGAATATAACATTTCATAGTACGCTTTCGTTTTGTAATAAATCATTCACATAAAATAAATTATTTACAAGGTACAATTTTTATACGATATTTTTTTTATGTTGGTAATATCAATGTTTAATTCTCACAGAATATCAAAAATATCATAAATACTATAACAAATTAAATATCATAAATATATAATTTTGTTGGATGTGAGATTCACATATATACAAACATGATGTGAGACATTTGATTGTAATTTAATACAAACACAAAATATTACTTGCAGTTGACAATTTCACAGTTTCCTTTTTTTTTAATGTACATTTGAGAATTAAATTATTAAAAACGACTGTAATAGATGAGGTTATCTAACTAGCGTATTTATTTTACAAACAACTTGAATGACATTCTGATCATTTTTACAACAAGAAAATAAAAAAGTACTATACATTTTTATAACTAGTTCAACCAAGAGCTTGCACACATGTGCATAAGATTACCAAAGTTTTCAGTGGCGGTACAAAAATAAAATGAATATGATCACAAAAACTTATTTTATAATGATGATAACAATTTCTTTATGTAAAACATCCTAAAGTAAATTGAAAGAAATGATGTTTCTCAGGATGAATTGAATTCCTCACACACACACCTGAAACTTTGCTCACCTTGCTCGGCATAATGAGGTTGAAGCAAGGATCAGGCGATGCGTGGAAACATGATGAGGAGGAGAAAGATAATTTTGGAAGGTAATTAAAAACGATGAATTCCTCTCTACTCGATGCCCATGGCAGGCAACTGAGACACATCGCAATGCTCCTTTTGTTGACAGTTGTATGCCACAAACACACCTGAAACTTTGCTCATCTAGTATAAGTAAGGCTGGGCAATGATCCAGGCGTGTCTGTAACACATAAAGTTTTCTCCTTGAGGGTTGAACAGAAGCAAGTCCTGCTAAAAAACAAAAACAAAATACGTAAATTTAATAAATCAAAATTTATTAATATATAATTTTTCATAAAGAATAAATCTTATGATGAGTTAAAATCTGTTTTTGTTAAGGATTAAGCATTATTTAATTTAAATAAAAAACCTTTGATCATTATAAGTTTACACAACAAGCACATTTAGTGTCTATTTAAAAAAATATTATTGCTACTACAAACAATAAATCAAGAAATCCATCTTAATTCCAGGCTTTTTAATTGGAATTTACTAAGCTGATTAAAGTTTAGTCTGAAAAAATAAAATTTCTAAAAAATAATGTTTTAATGAAGAAAATTAAAAATAAAATAGATTTGAAAATAGAATAGGGAGTGAGAGATTTTTTATTTAAAAAATAAACTCCCAAAATTCTTACTTGAATCATTGTTGTAGGTTTTAGTCAGGCACTGTTCAATCTTAGAAGTCAATAAATGACTGGACTCAAATGTATTACGATATGATTTGCCAACAGAGCATGAAATCCTACTACAGATGATAAGCCCCTTTGAAGGCAAATTTATCACAAATTTAATTAATATGCAACTTCATTCTATCAGGAATAACGCTAAGTTTTACAAAAAAAAAAAAAACGTTCTGTAAATAACTTTAGAGAAAGTAGCTCTTATTTGTTTATTATTATTACTTAAATGAATTAAGGTTTTTAGTTGAGATGAAAAAGTCAATGGCACGAGCGGGATTCGAACCCACGATCTTCGGCTAGATACGCCGCTGCTCTACCACTTGAGCTATCGTGACCTCGATCCACTCGGTCATCAACTTCCTATCTCAACCCCACCTTATGAGTTTTCCCTCCTTTTGCCATTTTTCAAATGTAATGTAGGAAGGGAAAATTCAAAAGGTGTGGTTGAGATGGGAAGTTAGTGTCCGAGTGGAACGAGGTCACGATAGCTCAAGTGGTAGAGCAGCGGCGTATCTAGTCGAAGATCGTGGGTTTGAATCCCGCTCGTGCCACTGACTTTTTATCTCAACTAAAAACCTTAATTAATTGTAAGATATTAATTGGTCAAGCGGACCACGAAATTAGTGAATTATTATTACTATTGTGTGGTGTTTTGAGCATTCTCAACACAACTCGCAAGAACGAACGGAAAACAAACACTTTGGGCACTGAAGATGATCTCAATAAAGATCGAAACGTTGGCATGATAAAGAAAATTTTTTCTAAACACTACGTCACACCAGACCACATCTAACGATCTCCAAATAATCATTATTACTATTTATGTACCGCGGTGGTAAAGCGATAATGATGTCCGACTCGTATTTAGCTTTTTAGTTGATAATTTAAGAAAAATATTTTGTAATGTGGCTAGACGCCTTGTCCGTGACACCCAACAGGTAGTTGGATTTTAAGCCCTCCTGTATGACAGGAATTAATTAATTATTTTTACTATTTTTGTATTAAAAAATTATGACTAGAGAGGCCAATCAAAAACAAAAACTCAGTTCCTTCGTCGAGCTTTTGAGTAAAACATCCTCCTTATCAGGACTATGAAACGGTAATTAGTAGATTAACGGGATGACAAATATAAAAATATATTCATAATTTTGACACCTATGGTTTCATGAACAATTAAATTAAAAATCGAAATCATATAGAACCAGATCAAACAAGAACAGAGATTTCCATCTATCTATTATTTCTGAAACATGTAAGTTTATCAAGTTTCAAATCTGTTGGAAAATTACCTTTTACATTCTTAATTAATCAATGATTGCTGTTGATGATTGAATAGTCTGCTAATTCCGATAATAATATAAATTAAGAATACGCCCAAAAAAGTTTATTTTTTGTAAGTATAATTTTAAAAATTTGGTTCTAGAGCGGCTGCAAATTAAGAAAGCCTGAATTTAGAGGAATAAGCTCACCCTCGATTTATTTAACTCTAATTCGTCTGAGGGTAATTTAAAAGGTTGACTTATAACCCTGCCATCTGTTACCTAAATCCACCACTGTCGACTCCCTACCATTTCTTCATTACTTTCTCCTTCCACACTTGTATATATTTTTCAAAGGGGAATTAATTAAATATAATTGTTTTAATTTTTCAGCTTGTGATTTGTAATGTCTACGTTTCAGTTGTTCTCCCGAAGAAATACTTTTTTTCAATTGTTTCACCGTCTGTTTTTTGTGAAATGAAGAATTTCGCGCGAAAGTAGAATGTTCCGTTTCCTAGGGACTATAAAAATAGTTTAACATCCGGCCGTGAAAGACAAATAACAATGGGGGATACACCTACAACCATTAACACCCCTACGATAAGAAAATTCCTCTGGGACACGCTAGTTTACATGCTCACCGAGCAGGAGAACGAACAATTCAATTCGAAATCTCCTTTTTCCCATTGGCGAAGCTAAATCAGAATTTCATGACTCTAACGCTCACGGTTTTATTTTCATAGAAATGCCATATTTGGGAAGATACTATAATTACGGTGACTTGGAAAAACGAATCATAAATTTAAAACAAAGGAATTAAAAACAATCCCAACGATAATCCCAAGTAATAAGATTGTTGGATCTTTATAAAATTCCTGGATGGATTTGTTTTATAAATAGTGTCTCTTTTTTAAATTTAAAAATCCCCAAAATAAATTTCTCGACAATATAAATTATAACAATAATGAATTATTTGTGTACTATTTTTATTTGCTACGAAAGCGAACAGAAGAAATAAAATATAGAAAGAAGAATTTCATGTTTTTCATCAAACCAATGTTATAAAAGCAACCCGAAGAAACCACTTTAAGATATTTATAAGCAAGAAACTCAGTTGTTTGTGTTTTCCCTATCTGTTTGTCCTACATGTGCCGTCTAAAGGAGCAATAATTCAAAAATATTTACAATTTTCTGTAACACTGACGAACAACGTAGGTCGTATGTACTCTAATAGGACAAGAGTGAACAGCTCCCTAAACGGGAAAAAGTTGAAAGATAAAATAAATATCAAGAACAGATTTGTTTTCCTTACAAATTAGAATTGACCTTTTGGGTGTATCGACCCTTGAAATGAGCTTTCCAGATCTATTTCACGTTTCTTCTCCGTCATGTAGTATCCATTAAAGCGCATAAGCTAACTTTGTAAGTTACAGACTCTGCGAAAAGTAATTCAATCCAGTTTAGCCCGTTGACGTCGGATCATTGAAAGAGATAATGTTACCTGAAACAAAAAACAAATTATCGATTTCTTGTTTGGAACTTGATTTAAAAAATAAATAAAAGTAAACTTTTTTAAAATTACAAACTAGTATTACGACTTTATAAACTTCTTCACACATAACTTTATTCCGAAGTGTTGAAACATGAGCTTAAAATTCGAGGCGTCAAAACTGCCATCAATGCCAAAGTAAAATTTAGTAAAAACTCTAAAATATCCTTACGATAACCTAGACTTTTTACCATGTCTGCGGGTATTTAATTTTCCATCACAAACACATCTAAATATACTCCAACGTTCTCGCTAATAAATACATTCGCTCAAATTAAGGGTATCTGCTTCAGGTATGGAAACAACTTATTTTTATAATCCTGTGTGTCATCGATTCCAAAATAAAATTTAGTACCAACTCTAAATATACCATTTCGTTCGATTTTAATTTGCATTAACATATTTTATGCTATATGATAAACAATACACCAAAAATTACATATATTATCTAAAATTTTATATTAAAAATTAGGGAAAGGCCAATTAGAACGACTCACAATCAGCTCCTTCGTAGAGATTTTCAGTAATTCATCACAAATGCTGTTACTAATTTAAAAAGTTGACAAATATGAACAGTTCACAACTTTCACACTGAAATGTACAATGAAATTAAAAATTGAAATCATAATCATGTAGAACCAGATCAAACACGACTTGTACATCCTATCGTAAGATTTTCAAGTTCCACGTTGTCTGCGAAATCATCTCATACATTATTAATCAATAATCAATTTATAATATTGAAACCTATGGGTGCATAATTTAATTTATAGTGGACGAAATCAGACATCGAAATGCTTTCATACCCGATTTTAAACGTAAAATATTGAAGATTGATGTTAATTATACCGGAGATATACATATTATCAATGTCATATGTATGCAGACAAATTATATATAAGATAAATGATGTACACACAGACATAAATTAGTGCAAACATATAGATTCTACGTATGTAGACAAATGGTGCAAATTTTTACAGTTTTTTTTTTACTTCGACGAAAAAATGTGATTATAATAGTTTCATTTGAAAAACATTTATTTAAATTGGTAAAAAAGTAAGCTGAAACTGTTTATTTTCAATTGCTTATTCCCAATTTTTATGGAAATTAGGACCAAAATGGTCTATTTCAGTCGATAGCTATAAAATAAACAGATCATTATTTCATGTTTTTAATTAAGAAATTTTGTATGAATAAAATCATTATACATCACTTTAGCTAGTGATATTCGATTTTTAAAAATAAATAATCAATTATTTCCAGCTTAGGGGAAGTTGAAAGAATGTCTGATCACGCCATTATTATATATTTAAAAGGAAAGTCATGGCATTTTATATAACAGTTATTATTGTGTAGAATTGAGTCATTACATTTTTTTTTTATTAAAGTCGTTTATTTATAATTGAATGAGCTTGGTTTTTTAATTAATTCTAAACTTCAAAGAAAATAAAGTATATTATCACATTAATTTATTATTTATGGATTTTGTTGAGAGTAATTAGTTATTTGATCAAAGTGAATAAATATTTATTTAGAAATCGTGAGATGCAGTCTGGTGTGACGTAGGTTTCAGAAAAACATTTTCTTTATCGTGCCAACGTTTCGATCTTTATTGAGATCATCTTCAGGGCCTGGGATTTACAAACATTGTTTACATATAACANTATATATAGAAATGACGGGGTTTGACAACTACGAGGTCATATCGTCCCAAAGGGTTTCGGTTATATTTGAAAAAAAAAAAAGCCTATTTGTATGTGTTCTGTGTTTACGACTGCTGTGATTCGAACCCGGGACTCTAACCGTGTCCTCCCTGTCAACGATCGAATACGTTAGAAAACCACCCATGTTTCTTTATAATTTTGTAATAAATTATAAATACCAGAATAAACAGGGGTGAGAAGAAAGTGTTACGTTTCATTTGGGGAATTGAGTTTTTAATTCGTACACTTCTATGTATTATTTAATTCATATTCTTTAGCATTTTCCTGTAGGGATAATATTATGACATTTGTGGTTTGAGCCAGACGTGGAGTGTTGCCTACATTTTACCACATTTCATAATAATTTACTTTGTTATTTATGCTGTGGACATGTTACAGTTAAAAAAATAAAATAAATCACGGATTGTGTGACAAAACATGCTGAAACGTCGCAAAAAGATTCTATTAAAAAAAAAAAAACCCTTCATAAATATGCCTAACCTCTAATTTCATATTTGTAATGTAAATATACTGATTATTTAAATATGATTTTAAACAAGTAAATAATGAATTTATACATTATCTAAAAGAGGAGTTATTGTATAAATTTTATTATTGTTAATGGAATGGAGGTATGGAAAATGACTTTATAGGTAGTAATAATAAAAATAAGTATGATTTATAAATAAATCGTCCATAACATAATCCACGTTGTTAGTCATCTCTTCATTTTTTGTTTTCATGGAATAAAAGTTTTAAAAGCAGACCAGTAATTAACGGGTTTTATAAAGAGACGAAGCTCAAGGGCCATGGAGGATAAAGAGAGCTTTTGTAAGGATCACGACTTGACTTTCTCGGGGTCAACGGACTCACCCACACTGGCCATTCTAGTTCAATCAGCTGCATCGCCGCACTATTCAGAAGACGCTTTACAATTAGAAGGCTTTGTTGGTTTGGAAGTTAGTGGCTGCTAACCGATCCGATTGGACTAATGTTGTGATTTTCAATTATTTATCGTATAAACTATTGATTTAAAGGGATCTTTTGATGTTAATGGTTTATTCTTTAACTTGAATAAACCATTTACTTGCGATGTGAGCTTTTATCTACGTCTGAGCGGTGATAAATTTATAGTTTGATCGTTTCCGATCTACATATTCTCCAGAGAGAGATATATACAAATAATCTTCCAGGTTTAAGAATCAATTTTCAAAAACCTAATCAACAATCGAAAAATAGTATCAAATTATTTTGTATAAAAAAGTATATATATTATAATCTCAAATTTTAAAATTGTTTCTAAACTATTTTTAATTTGGCCAGTAGTTCTTACAAATAAAACCACTAACAGGACTGAAACTTCCAAATTTTCCTTTGATATGACGTTATGTTTATAGATATAACTATAGAATCAGTGATGTGATTTAAAAAAATATGTAATTATTAAATTCATAATATCATAGGGTTAAATCTTAATTACATTAAAAGGAATTTTTTTTCGGACGGCTAGCTACTAGAGTCATTGCCTCTTGTTTGTCCTAACTTGTATTTTTGACTCTATATTTTATGTTTAACCATTCCACACGATTAAAATGCCCTTAGCCAATTAAGATTCACATTCATACTATTAAAACAATACTCTAATCTAAGTTTGATTTACTGCTGAGACCCTAAAATTATGTACAACCTGAACCTACGGTTGATGTCGGTGAGGCATTTGTCACCAACCTTCATTCACGCCAATAAATACATTCACACAGAGTAATAATCACGAATTCACTATTTTAAGTTAACTTTTTTGGTTCGACAGATATTGATTTTGCCAAACTTAACCACTCATGCAAACAAATACGTTCACACAATCTCAAAGGTTTTTGATATTTCGACAGTGACAATCTCCGTCACACTGCAAATAAAACTAACCTTGAATACTTTGGTGTGCCTGTGGGTATTCAATTTTCCATCACAAACACATGCAAACATATTCCAACGTTCGCGCTAAAAAATACATTCGATCAAATTAAGAATATCATTTCATGCAACGTTCGGCTTAAGGTATCGAATCGACTTCTTATTTTAATCACTACAGTAATACAGCAAGCCCAATGCTTCAAAAATAGTTTAAAGTTTGCGCGCAAGCTATTCCTTATTATTTGCGGTGCTAATCTCTCTGATAATATGTGTTTTACTGATTCATAAAGATACCCTTTCTTGGCGAAGAGATGGCCATGTGTCAGCCTGGTGTGGCCTATCGGCCGGCGAGTTATATGAGTCTTTCTTTTTGCTCATTTTCTGTCTGATTCAAGATTTTTTATTAATATATAATTAATAGTTATAATTTATTTTATTCTAATGAATTACACATAAATGGGATCAAGATCTGTGTTTGTTCCCATCCTAATAATAGAATGTAAAGACTGACAATATTAAAATATAAATAATAAAACTTATAAACTTATGTACAACGATTAAAATAAAAAGTAATATAATTTACTTATTATTAACAATATTATTTACTTTGATTACTCATGTATCTTGGTCTATGAAAGGTCCAAAAACATATTTTGTAAATAATATCATTTTGTTATTACAGTGGTGATTCTTGGAAATAGTTTTTCACACAATGTATTTCGTTTATTTCTTATATGAATTTAATTGTTTTTAGTATTGTCTTGTGTTTTTGTTATGTCTAATAATTACATAATACTAAGTGTTAATTGACTTCGAACTGAAAATTTTCTTCTTGATCTTTTTAATATTTATGAGGGACGTGCTAGGTTATACAAACTGCCAATCTTTGTCTGGTGTTTAGACGTCACTTTATTTCTTTGTTTCAAGTTTCGGGGTACACTCTGAGGTGTATTTAAAGTTGATTGGAACAAAAGGTTTCTGAATCGTCTGAATATTTATCGAAGTCACGATAGCTCAAGTGGTAGAGTAGCGGCGTATTTAGCCGAAGGTCATGGGTTCGAATCCCGCTCGTGACACTGCCTTTTTTATCTCAACCGATACCTTTCATAAATATCAATTAATTGAAAAATGTTAATTAGTCAATCGGACCACGAACTGTAATGGTTTTAATAATTAAACTGAAGTATATCTTCACGAAAGCTCTCCGTGGCCATTTCATTTGTCTCCGAGAATCGAAGAGATTACACGAAATTTGAAAATTGGCAAAAAGGAGGGAAAATTCGAGAGGTCAGGTTGAGATGGGAAGTTGGTGTCCCAGCGGATCGAAGTCACGAT